TGTGAATTCGACAGTTTCTATATCGCTCTCTCGCTTTTGCAACACAATATTTTCAGTCAATCACTCGGGTCGATGCATATCGAACAACAAAAGGACGTAGTGTGATCTGCTGTCGTTGCACACGCGCCGTCGAAAGTGAGACGGTATTGTCAATATTTTAGATTCATCGAGCGCTTTCCGTATTACAGTATGCAAAAAAGCGCGCCTGGTGGCGCGAGATACGCGTGGTCGGTGGAGAAATACTTTCTTCTTCATAGCGCAGCCCACGGGAATACTCGTAAATTATGCGTGGTATTATGAAAAAGGGGGACACGGTCGTCTCGGTCATCGGGTCGCGCAACCTCGGTTGACCTCTCATGCCAAAATACCAGCCAGTCGCCTCGCCCTTTGACATCGGGCTGTACACTGTAAGCGGTATATCGATGACAGATAAACGAGTTTGGCGAGCGAAAGCGTCATAAAAAGAAGATTTAACGATCCGCGCGAAAACTACAGAATATGCACTCCGTTTAGATGAGCATGCTGCCAATATCGCTGTTTCGGCCAATACCAATTTCGCCAATGGTATATTCGGCATAGTTAATAGACTCGGATTGTGCTATCCGAAAATAAAATGGATTTTTATAACTAATACAGAAGGACATAGCTGAATGCGTATAGATTGTTTTCTTTCGTTTTGCCGAAGCTCAATATATAGAATACCAATGAAATAAAAAATAAAATTTAATTGACCTATGATTATTCTTGCGTGACACATATAAATTTTGTCTCTTACAGTGAGTGCTAAAAAATATTAGTACAGGAGAGATATCTTAAAAAGAGACTTAATTTTAGAAAGTAAACATTAATTAGTGATTTAACATAGAATAAAATAGATTATATACTTCTCTAATCGAAATACGTTATCTTAATAAGCGGGAATGGAAATTATACTCTTTAAACGTATTAAAACTATTTATATAGTCAAGACTTCGCACTTATTAGGTAGGTAAATAAAAAACAGTCAAATTGGCTGAAAGTTAACTTATGAGATGTTGATCAAAAGTCTCCATCGTGTGAACATAATCATAAAAAATGGATAAACAGAATGAGCAGAATCTATTCATTTTTTATAGTTGTTCCTTTTTTATGAAGACTTTTGATCAACATCTCATAAGCTACAAAATATCACAATTTTAGCCAGTTTGACTAAAGCTACTTTTTCCATGATTAATATAAGGTTTTTTTTAGCTTTCAAGAGCATATAGTTATTTTTTGTTTATATATTAGGACGGAACTCATAGTTATTATTTACTTATTTAATTAATGTTTATTTTTTACAAAGACTATTTTCATAAAAAAATTTTTATATTGTAGAACAATAAAAACAACCATAAGACCATTTAAAGATAGATGACCGAAATAATTGCAACAATAATGAAGCATCGTTAGAGTAGCACACTAACGATAAGTGCTAGATTTGAGAACAAGAGATTCCGAATTCAAATCTCAGTAAGCTCTGTTAATTTTCCCATCGATCTCTGTAATGTGAATATGTTTTCACTGTACATGAATTATTGAAAATATATTTAAAGATACGTTATATATTATACTTATATAAAAATATATTTGTCTCAATGTTAAAAACTTCATTTCTTTTACTTAAAGAGCGTAATGAACCGAACGAGCGATTTAATCCGCGTGATTGATAACGAAGAGGTAATCGACGTAGCTTGCGTTAAAAGAAAGCGCTAAAAGAGAAAGCACCGTACACTCATTAATTATTCGTGGCGGAGAGACTTTGCAAAATTGTCGAAGTTTCTCTGCGAGAAGGTGACACGGCAAGGGTCACAGGGGAGGCGATCGTTTTCACGAACTCTTGTTTTTAGAGCCGAGACTCATTTAACTCGGTTACGAACACAAACATGCTGTTAACAACCCGCATCGAAAGATCAAAGCCTCTTAAAGTGATTTCCTGGTCGCGTTACGGAGAGAGAAGTCGGAGAATTTCCGTAATGATATCTAACGAAATTAGACTCACACGAAAATGGATTTAAATACTTAAAGGGGGTGTAACGTACTCTTGTGTATCTTCAGGAAAATATTATTTATATAACATAAATTTTAAATATTATTTGTCTCGAAATAAATAGCATTGAGCTTTGTCAATACTCCTTCGTCAAATAATCCTTAGTCGTATTAGTAACAAATATTGATGTACGGTTTAAAATGAAAAGCGATGATACAATTTGATTTTCAATATCCTATTCTGTTACAGAGTGCACTTAATTAGATCAGTCGGTGGGTTGCGTCGGAAATTTAAACTGTGCGCGACATGCGAATGAACGAGAGTACGGCCATTAAAACCAATAACGTGCAATTTAATTTGGGACGAGCATAGCTTGTGTTAATCACGAAATACTTTACTGCCGTAATGTGTTCCGCGTATGTTTTTTTTTCCCCCCCAGCATTACCTGATGCGATTTTGTAGTATCAGAACACTTTAACTGTCGTGAATAATTCAGGAATTTTCGAACGCGTTTTAAAAATTCATATAAAAATAAAATCTAGAAACTATTTCGCATATGTTCGGAACTTGCGGCATTACATAATCATAATTTCATGAACATTACGACAATCTGCCGTATTGTGAGTCCTATGAATAAAATTTTATGAACAGCAGCATAAGCACTTATTATTGATCATGCTATTTCAGGAAAAAGTCGGAATTTAAATTCAAAAAGTGGGAAAACGTTGAAAAATAGTTTTCTTCAGAACATAGAATGAAAGTAAAAACTGTCTGTTATAATTTTATTTACAAAATAATTTTTTGAACGCGCATCAATGCCAGATAAGTGACGCTGGGATGAATTATATGTAATTAATTTATGACAACTTAAAATTGAATTTAAGACTTTTAAACATATAAACAGCCGCCATAATCATTCTTACATTAAAAAAAAAAAAACTAATAATTTTTTGCTGAAGTATCTAAAAATGTAGTTAAATACAGATTTGAAAATGATTCGTGTTAAACTATTTGCTAAAGTTGGTGTTCAAGCTAATATTTGTCTAAATAAACACGTTTTCATTTTTTAGATTCATAAAAGAGTATAAGATTTTTTATACATTATAAAAGATCTCATCGCATTGCTTGCCCTTTTTGCATTCATCTTTACTCTCTTTCAACATCCGAATACTTTTTTTTATCTCGTTTTGAGAATAAATATTTTGAGGATTTCAAACAACGTGAACAAATCTAATAATATAAGAAACAGACACACGCTCGGAAAACAAGCAATCGATGGAAAGATATAAACGAGTATTTTTTTATATTTTCTTTTGTAAAGGCTACTCTTACACCGAGAGACCTATATGCGATCTATATCTGATCTATAATGCGACCCAAAAGCATTAGGTCCAGGCACCAACCATTTACAGTATTTACACCGTAAGCAGTCTAAAGTATTCTACGAACATTTTATAAAATAATTATTAAGACGCTCAAGCTTGTTGCTAAAATATCAAAATTTTTTTTCTCATTATACTTGAGTGTCCTACATAATTATTTCGACAGCCTAACAAAATTATTTTCAGATCTGTATCTAATTAAATCTTTAGCTATTTCAGCAAAGTCGTTCTTTTCGTGTATTCATTAACGAAATATATTCTTCGGATACCTATTTACACTAATATTTTACACTCAATCAAAGTAGAAACGCTTTGAAACATCTTAAGAGTTCCGGCACTTTGGGGAAAAGCTGGGAGTCTATCAGCTAAAGAAATTCTCAAAATGGGATGCTTCGTGAATGTAGAGGAAGGAAAACGCTGAGGATAAAGTTAGGCCGTTTATCCTATCAATCGTATAGAAGCCTTTTGGTGAAATTGGTATCGTCTCTTTCCCTACTTTTATCGCACCGGAGAAATTTCTGTGTCTACCGTTCGTACACGACGTGAGACTATCGCATGCTCTTCCTTTAATCCCGATGCAGGTAGAAATTCCTCGGGAGGCTGCGCCGACCTTCCCCAGAGAAATGTCTTGCCTCCCTGATGTCTCACCCTACGACTCTTCTTCTTAGAACCATTGTACCCTTTTCAGCGTTGTTCTATCCGAAGTTTCCCTTTCCTTCTTCTGCCACTTTTACCCCTCTTTCTTTCCGTCGTTGTCCCAAGTCGTCCATTCGTTTCTTGGTCTCTTGCCTCCTGCCCTCTCCCCGCCCGTTTATACTACCCCTTTTCTCGCCGTGCTACCCTCAAGTTAGCCTTCTCGCTTTCACCGTCACAGACAGCAGATTTTCCTCATTTTATTTTTCAATCTCACGGAGGATGCGATTTTCTTCCTCACTTCGGCAATCGAGCGCCGACGAGCAGATGAAGTAGAGAAGGCAAAAGCGACAGTTTCCAGAAACTTTATATCGATAGTATTGTTGAGAAACGAACGAATGGACGAGCGAAACGAGAAAGGATGCGCCAATCCATCAATTAGTTGTTAGCATTAGCGCGTCATTAGGGAACACAATTCGCTCTAATGATTTTGAAACTGATTAGATCGTCGTCTAAGCACTGTTAACTGCAGAAGACACGATACGCTCAGAATCTGTTTCCAACGAAGTTTATTCACGCTTCGAATTCATTCACAATTATATGGAAGAACTTGAAAAACTTGCCGCATCATTTTTTAGGAGAAAAAAAAATCTCTAGAGACCTTGTCTAGTTCAAAGTTATTAAAAGGAAATATTTTTCTTTTAATAACTTTGAAAACATTTTTAACTAGCGTTATTTATAACTTTTAATAAAAACAACTTTTTACGCGTATCGTTTTCTCACAAAATATCTAAAGGTTACGCGTATAAAAAAATTTTTTACATATATCTTTAGTTACACAAATACTTGTTTTTTTTTTACAAAAAAATAACCCTTCAATTGACAGTAAACATTTTCCCGAAAGTTTCTTTTGTTCTTTTTCCGCGCGCAGAGGTACTGTAATCCCTTTCGAGAAAAAATCCAATTATTTGACTTACCTCCAACACGTGCTCCGCTTGATTCTCACGATCGAGCTTCCTACCACTGGTGCTGATGAGACCTGCAATACGAATAGTGCAGAGATTAAGCATTCAATGATTAATAAATAACGGGGGATCGAGCGGCGTTCCGTGCTGCGGCAGGACAGTAAAACGGTGGCACTTTGCGCGAGACCCACCCTCGATAAAATCCCGCGGATGGAGGACGAGCGGTACAACCCTCGAATTGCGGGCGAACGGAAGGCCCTCCATTTACCGAGACAAAGATCGGTCCGATGGAACGAGCCCGACGAAATTATAGCGTTCAGATTTTGCCGTGCGCCGAGTACTCCCCGTCTCTTTCAACGGTACCGCCGCGATATCGAGCTTCATTTTACGTCCCACGGAATCCCTTTCATCATGGGCACGAACTCCGCTCGGAAACTCGATTGAGCAAAAATTTGCGGACGCGAAGTAACTGACGAGGGGAGAAATTCTTCTGGTGTACTACTCTGCGGAAAACTTCGAAGAGAAGACGGCAGTTCGACCGTTAGACCTCCCAATTTTTGACAAAATACTGCTTGTAATATAATTAACCCTTTCATAGCGTGACAGGTGGATCTCTTCAGTTTTCAGAGCCGGAAATTCACGCGCGTTAACAAAAAGCCAGAATTGGAATTTTCGGCTAAAAACTGAAGAAGTAACTTATCATATTATGAAAGAGTTAATTATTTTACAAACAGCATTTAGCCGGAAATTCCAATTCTGACTTTTTGTTAACGCGAATTTCCGGCTTTCCGGCAAACGGACAAAATCTCTGGCTAATCGTTTAATCCTAAATTTGGATGTTGTACAAATATTATTTATATTATTTATTTAGGAAAGGACAATTAATACTAGATTAATGTTATATTATAATTAATATTAGAGATACAGTGAGATGTTTTTGATAAGCACAAGGGTGATGCACAGAAGTTTACCCCTAACGAAGGTAAGTCTCGCGCAAAAAACCTCCACGAGACGCAAAGCGTGACGCTGCAACAAAGCGGCACCGCCAAACAGAAATAAAAGAAGCCCTTTAGCGTGGCACAGCCACGTTATATAAAGCCAGAGTGATCTTTTTTTTTATTAGTCTTACGGCTTCCAATGACGGCAGTGTCGCTGACGGCCCAGATTTTATATTACACCGCGAGCTCAGCTAATCGAATTACGAGGAAGCCGTTGTCGTTCCGCTCGGAGCTCCGATCCGCCGCGCCGACAAGGCGGTGCTGAGGAACTCGTAATTCTCGCTTTGCGGCCCCGTTATGATTAGTGTGGCGCGAATCCGAACTCGTGCAACTGATACGGTACCGGGCATTAAAACAAACTAGTTCACGTTTTCGTCGGCTAACGCCGATCGCGTGTTAAACGCGTTGCGTTATATCAGGCCGGTTGAGGCCGGTGAGGGTGGAACGAAAGCGGTGAAACAATCTAGGAAAGAGTATGAGATCTTCAAATCTAATTTCCGTTGCTCTAATCGAGTTCGCGCCATTTCGAGGCTCGATTAATTGCGCCTTTTTTCCCGTAGAT